ATAGATCTAAATGGATGGGCCTGATGGAAAAAAGCCAGATGCCTCCTCACACTGCTCCTCCCAAGGCCCTCAGGGAGTCAGGAATTACTACCTCCCAAGGGCTGACCTGAATGGTGTCTTGGGTTTTATGAAGTACAGACAGTTTTAGTTCACTCTAAAAGACCATCCCCATTTCTTTTTTTCAACTGTGATATTTAAAAGGGAGCACATTTACTTCTCGAGCAACCGTTCCTTTCTTCCCAGCTTATTCACGGGTGTCACAATCGCAGCAGGCGAGACAGAAGCCAGGTGACTCAGGAATAATACATTCAGACAGGGAGCCAGAAAATGTAAGTTTAAATCTTACTGCTGGAAGGCAAGCTCTGGGGCTCAATTTTGCTTCCTGAAAATTGTTAATGAGGATTGCCACCCTGGTCCCTGCGTGGTAGAGATGTGCCATCCAAGCAGAAATAGCCCTTACCTGCCCCTCATTATCAACTGCATTCTCACCAGCCAGCCTCAGAAGAGGCCTGCCCCCAGGTCCTCGGGACAGTACCTGAGACGAGCAGGTTCTGCACAAGTGTGATTTTCCAACAGGGCTTCTCAGAGGCTGTAAGTGCTCTTACACGTTCTGATTCTCCAAGAAGGTAGGTGGTGAACAGGACCAGAAGGGTAATAGCCAACATCTGTGTGTTATCTCAGGGGTCACACATTGAAAGCATTATTTCATTTCATTGGGTAACACTATAGGCATAGGAGCCCTCAGCATCTTCATTTTACAGGAGAAGAAACTGAAGTTCAGAGCAGTTAATGTCACAGTCTCATGGCCAATAAATAACAGATTGGGGGTGTGAAGTCCTGTCTTTCTGATCACAGATTCTAGCCTTTAAACACCTCACTGCTTTTCACACACTGAATTCATCTGGGATTCTTACTGTTCCACACCTTGTTCAATTGTATCAATGAACTCACTTCAGGAAACACTATTCTAGGGATGTTCACCTTAAGGCCAATCCTCTGCACCCACGTTTTAAGAACTGATTAGAAAGGGGGTCTCTCTAAATGGATTCCTATCATTATATCACCTAGACCATTTCATATCTACTTCCATGACATATTGCATCCCAAATAAAATGTATTCCATGCATATCTTGGCTTACGGCCTCTTTCTCTAGCTCCAAAGTCATCTTCAAATCTCTCTCTGCTTCCCTCACCTTCTTCCTCCTTTGACCTTATTGCCTCCCTCTTACTACTGTAGGG